GCAAAAAGGGTTGAGGGTAGTAGTAGTGTCGGTGGTGCGCTCAGAGTGTGGTGCTGGGTGGCTGGTGGTGTGTAGGCTACTACCTCCTCTCTCTCTGCCTAGGCTTCGAGTTGGGTTGTCCGAAGAGGAAGGTGGTGGTGGGGATTTGTGTGTCGGTGGAGGAAACGGGCCGCGTGCCAGACGAAACCGGCAATATCAACGTTCCCTTGCGCACTCCTGCATATAACTCACACTACACCGGGTGCCGCCGAAAATCCCCAAAAGCACACGAAACAAAGGCCTTCCTCCACTCTCACCCTCGCTGCTGCCACCACCACCCCCAAACCCCCTCCCAGTTCCACCCATTGCACGGTTCTCACTGGAGCCCCGTAACCTGTGCCGATACACGCGTGCACACCGAACCTTCTATGTACGAACAGAGACATAACATCGACTTTTCTCGGTCGAACGTGTTCTCTCTGGCGCTCTCTCTCTCTCTATAGGCGCGAGCACGTGCACGTTCAAGAGTTCGCTTCGACGAGCCGCGAGAGCCTCGATGATGGAGAGAAAGAGAGAGAGAGTCATCCCAGCCAGCGGCAGCAGCAGCTAGCTAGGCTCTCTGCTAGACTCCAGGAACGCGTTCTGCTGCTTCACGGTAATTGTTTGGTTAAGGTTTTTCGGGAGCTGGAATTAGTTCCGTTATGTGCGTCGCCCTCTCGCACCTTTTGTACGGGTCGCTCCTCTTTCTACGAACTCCTCGAACCACCGAATACCAACCCTACACGTGCAAGCTTTTACGCCGATTCTCGATTTATCGTCCGACGATTTTGCTCTTTCCCACAGTTTCCACGTATAGGTGTACTTGTATTTTGTGCATACAGTTACATTGTATTTCTGACATTTCGTTTCGTTTTCAATGTTATTGGAATAATGAGGTTTTTTTTTTTTGTCTTTAAACGGTATCGTAATAAACTTCAGACTCTCTGGGTCATTAATAAATCACGTTCAAGTGTAAACAGCTCGGATATCGCGAGATTACACGAGCGCGAGAAGACGTGTAATTATATTATTAACTAGTCGATTATCTTGGTAAAACGCAGGAAAGGATGCGCTTGCAATTAACGGCACGGAAATCAAAATTCTTCACGACCAGATTTGCCATCTTTTCTTCCGCGATGCGGAACGCTCGCGTCTGTGCGTCGTGTCCGTTTCATGGCTCGTGAAACGTCTCGGAGAAAAGGAGAAGTTGCAATTATTATCGGTGGAGAGAAGAAAAAAAAAAAATGTACGCCCCGCGAGGTGCGATTATCCTGCGTCTTCATCGAGCCGTTATAATTGGCCGAGCACAAGCTAGGTCGGTCGGTACGTTTTCTTCAAGGTTAGTCGAAAGCCCCCGACGCTGAGTGGGTCGGTGAGCTGAAAAATCGATACGTACGAAAGTGAGAGTCTCAGCCGTTCCACCCTCCTTTTTCTTCTTTACGTTTCGCGTCCTCTTCTTACTTGCCATTTGGTTCATTCATGTTGCGTCGTGCAGGGCCGTGGCTCGTCCAATTTTGCAATTTTCGTGCTCACCGGAGTCACTCTTTCAGGGACTCGAATTAGCTTCGTGATACCGAATATCTGTGAAACGAAAACGCGGGCAGGGGAGGGAATAAACGAAACGTGAAACGAATGTATACGGAATTTGTTGCGAAATTTCACGAATTGTTTCGAACTTGGCAAAAACCTTTCTCTCTTTTTTTTTTTTATCGATGTCAACCCTTCGTAGCCTGACACACTTCGTACGTCGAATTTTCTTGCTGTTCTAGGCTTTTTAAAGAAATTAGAAACAATTCGGAAAATTAGAAAAACTTACATTGTACAATTGTTGGAGTTAAATGTTTCAAACTTTCTTCTTTTGGAAGAAGTACGAGAGTGAAATTTGGCTTGGGTCATCAATGACCCAGGCTGTGAACGGGGAGGGTTAAAACGTTGTGGCTTGCGCGGATGCACGATTGCAATTTTTCCGCGGAATTATATTTAAAGAGGGAGAGAGGCGAATCGAAGGCGCGTTTGGCATTTAGATAGGGGTACGGTGGAGTTTGTTTTTGATTCGCGTTGCCTTTCATGTCGTTCCTGTCCCCTCCATAGGGAGTGGATAAATTTGACGGCGAGATGTTAAACGGAAGAAGGAAAGAGAAAATGTCAACAGGGGCATCCGCACATGTGGGATCTTTCATGGTGATGATCCCGCGAAAACATCATCGAGAGTGGTTATGGGTAGGCTCGTATATTAATACTCCTGATACAAATATTGCCGTTTATTGTCTCGAACCGCGTAGGTTTAGTACTGCGAAAACACTTTCGATAATTGCATTTAGTGTAGTTCGCTTCTGGTATTACCGTGAAATTTTTTAATTAGTTTGTACCGCGTAATAATGGGGGCTCGTTGATCGAACACTTTTATTTCATCGGGAAATAAATTCGATATTCATTTGCAACAACGAAAGTATACTTGGTATGTTATTCGAATAACTTTATGCAATGCGTGCGGAACAGTTTTCAAGTTTCAGCGAATCATTGAAGTAATTGCTAAATTTACGTAATATACTACGAAACGACTTTGTATGCGGTTTTCTCGCACGGTATACAATTTGCAATTTTGATTCGTAACTGTACACCGTCTGAACGTCTGCGTATGACTCATTGTGTGCTTTTTCCTCGTTGACTTGATTTTTCTTCAACAGACGTCGCCGCCCGATGGTCCGAACTTAAAAACATGTTATTCGTGACGGACGAAGGCTGGTTAGAAATTTCTTAGAATCTGATTTTGATATTAGTCTTTTACTTTAGTAAAACGCTACCTTTATTTAGGAGTGTTTCACCGCAAGTGGGCAAAAATTTGCCAGTGGATTTGAACTGTGATATAATTATACCCTCAAAGCTGAAAGTTAAAGAAATATTGTTAATGAAAGTTACTAATTTCTTCCGATTTGACTAATCATGAATATTAACCACAAGGACATGATTCTTTCTCTCCTTTCTTTTTCTCGGAAAGCTATTTTTACTATTTGGAAATTATAAATAAATTTACATTTTACAGTTTCCTTGATAAAGCGTTACTTTTAACATTCAAAGAAATATTCCTTTTGAAATTTTCTCTATAATACTTCTGAATCCCTCTATTTGAAAGGACTGGTCTTAAAATGACCCTTACGCAAATCAAAATCGAATCTAAGGCTTGAAGTATCTATAGTAAAAAATTCAATTTTCTTTTGCGTTTTGTACGATTTAGATCCACTGTGCGCCGTTCTCTCGGGCAATTTAAAGTCGATACCGTAAAAATTCCCTCGTTCATTGCCAGACAGTTGTTTCCCTGGTTTTATTCCCCACGGAAACGGCTGATTTAATCTTTGTCTTTATTCTTGTAACTCTGATTATTTTAATCTTGTGCGGTTTCGTATTCAGAGCTAGTAGACTCGACGTGCGCTATTTTATTTCATTTTAATCGATGTATTTCAATACAGATACGTTAGAGAATATAGTTGAATTATGAAACGCTTGTAAAATTAACCGCTTAAGTATGGGCTAATTACGATAAGATATCGAACGTGACCTGTATATCGCCTAGAGTGAAATATTGAAATACATATATGTGACGTGACCGATTTGTAATTGTAATTTTTTTTCTGTTATTATAGCGGTACCGGATCTAAGGTCCTCGTAAGCAATCTCCCAGCTCAGGCCAGATTAGAGGACATCGAAGTTCTGTTCTCGAACTGCGGTCAAGTGCAGTCCGTCGAGAAGTTGTCCTCGCGCGATCCTAACACACAAACCGTCCTTGTTAGCTATGAGACGCAAGAACAAGCACAACAGTAAGATAAAGTTTCTTTCTCAAACATCCCTACTTTCGCGTATTACGAATAATTCTCGCAAACTGTCTTCCGTGATACGTACTTCTTGACTGCAGCAGCTTCTGTTACTTGATAATCATCAGACTATTCGTTTAATTAAACAAACACTCTGCATTTGACCCTTTGCCTCGAGTCAAACTCGACATAGGCACTTTTGCCTTTGGACGTCATGCAGTGGTAAATCATAAACGATAATAAACCATTTTTTATGGATTAACGTTGCAGTGTAACTTGTTATAACTGACATTGGGCTGAAATATTGAAACAAAGGCAAACGATAGTGGCCAAATGAGTTCGGATTAACTGAACCGCAAAGGGTTAATATGTGACGAATTTTCACTCTTTTGACATTTTTTCGTAGGTTTTCTCTTAATTTTCTTGCACTCGATATAATTTTTCACTCTTTCGACATTTTACCGTAAGTTATCTCGTAATTTTCTCCGGCGATAAAAATAAACGACAAAGATAACAACCATCGGCTGTAATTTACTAAAAAGTATCTGTGAATGTTCGTCAAATAGAAAAGAAATACTTGGGATGTGATATAAACGGGTTAACAGTCGTTTGAAAAGAAAGTCGGGACAGATGGATCATTTGGAACGATCCACCCACTTTAATACTCGTGTCTGCTATAGCGCCGCGTGGTCCTAAAATTTGTCTGGCCGCGTGTGTTGTCCATAGCTGACAATTCTTTCGGTCGTTTGCAGGGCTGTGAACCAGTTTAATGGCCACGAGTACGAGGGTAGCCCGCTAAAAGTGGAAATGTCTACGGCGGAGAGCCGACGAAGAGGCCGCAGCCAGCGCAGCGGCGTCGCTTATTCCGGAGTTTCGGGTTCCGGACGACAGACCGACTTCCCGCTTCGTATTCTTGTACAATCGGAGATGGTCGGCGCTATAATCGGTCGTCAGGGATCCACCATACGCCAGATCACACAGATGACGCGCGCGCGAGTTGACGTTCATCGTAAGGATAGTCATGGTTTCTTGGAGAAAGCCATCACTATCTACGGTAATCCTGAGAATTGCACGAACGCGTGCAAGAAGATCATGGAGGTCACGCAGCAAGAAGCCCACGGCATGAATAACAGGTAAAAGAAAGGGAATACGTGAAGGTAACCTTAACCCTTTCGAGATCAAGTGGAACGCGCATTGTCACACTTGAGTATTTGAAGAAAAATTGACGATCTCTGTTTAGTATTCGTTACAGATGATCGGTAGATAAATAAGCTTTTTTTAAAAAAAAAGGATTGTCAACCAGAAGAGTTAGAGCCCTTCCACTGCAGCAGGAAATTCGTCTCGTTTTAACGAAACGACAGACTTAATTTATTAAGTTGAAATGCGCAGAGGATTAAATTAAGATGGAAGCGCATCGATTGGTTTCAACAGTGTAGAAAACGTCGAAAGGGTTACAGAGATACCCAAGAAATTTTTCATTATGGGTATTAATGACGTAAAATTCGAAAATAAAATTCGTCGTATTACAAAAAGATATTTGTAAAGATCCTGTTGAAAGTTCGTGTTAATTTTCGATCATATTCTTCCCGAACGTTCAACCGTTGAACATTTTCCAAAGAAAGTCGTCAAATTTTGGTAGAAGTACATCGAGGCATAGATTAGTGTGTTTATTTTTACAAAAGTTTATTAGCTCTTCGTTTCAATGGTGATGTATCGTTCTGTTCGTTAGTTGCGAGATCTCGCTGAAAATCCTCGCGCACAACAATTTAATTGGCCGGATCATCGGCAAAGGTGGTACTACAATCAAGAAAATCATGCAAGACACAGATACAAAGATCACTGTTAGCAGTATCAACGACATCAATAATTTCAATCCGGAGCGCATCATCACTGTCAAGGGCAGCATCGACAACATGAGCAAAGCCGAATCCATGATATCCAGCAAATTGCGCCAAAGCTATGAAAATGATTTGCAGGCGATGGCTGTAAGTATTACACACATTGTGCAACGAGAAGAATGTCATACAAATGACGAAAGTTGTAAGTTTTGAAAATATTAGATTTGCCATTCTCAAGTTGTTATAAATAACTCAATATTGAAATTAAGCAATTTCTACCTAATTTGTTGTTTAAATGTTACATATTTTTTTTTTTTTTTTACACATAACAGTTTGCAGTTTGTTAACTTCTTTAAACTCTAGGTTGGATATTACCGGTCTCGTCTCTTCGATATATTTTTAACAAATTTCCTGTTTCATTTACAGCCTCAAAGCATGATGTTCCCTGGCTTGCACCCAATGGCAATGATGTCCACTGCTGGTGTAGGATACAGTTCACGTGGTCCTGGTTTGTATGGTTCAGGACCTGCCCCATATCCTTATCAAACAAGCTTGCCGACACAACAGGGTATTCCTGTCGGTGATGCGCAAGAAACTGCCTTCCTGTACATTCCCAATACCAGCGTAGGTGCCATCATCGGAAGTAGGGGTTCCCACATCAGAAATATCATCAGATTCTCTGGTGCCAGCGTAAAGATCGCACCAATTGAACCTGATAAGCCAGTGGAGCAACAAAGTGAAAGGAAAGTGACTATTATTGGATCACCAGAAGCCCAGTGGAAGGTAAGTTCTGTGTACGAAATAATATTGTCTGTTTTTTTTTTTCTTTTTCTCTATTTACAATGTATCTTAAATGGCTGTGTGAAGGAATGTTTCATTTTCAAATTCGCGGTAATAGTTGAAAAATGGTTATACCCTACGTTCCTCTGATATACAGGTTTTTATAAATTAAAAAGAAACATTTCAACTTTGAAATAATCGTAATATTGTGTAGTATGTTGTATAATATGCGTTAACATTGTATAATAAAACATGTATGTGTTTATTTGGACATGAAATACCATTAAAACGTGGAGCTGGAATACGATAATACTTGAAATTAACACTTTGTCGATTGAGCCACTTCGTGGCTTAGTGACTTAGGCGCTGGCTTTCCACCGCAAAGGTCCCGCGTTCAAATCCCCGATACCTTGAGCAAATACGTTTCTCCGTTTTTACGACTGATATACGTTACGAAACACTTCAACCTGCTCCATTTGGGAATATGCCGTGTTTAAGCATCATCTTGAACGAGCAGGAAAATTAAAATAGAAGGGATTTACCCGTACCAATGACACGTTCTATATAAATGCGTGTATAGTTGGTCCCGTGATACCTTCGACAAAGCACAACACTATTTTTTCATCTCGACGATTTCACCGTGTGACGAGACTAGGAGATATCACATAACAACATAATCGATGAATTTTCAGGCACAATACTTGATCTTCGAGAAGATGCGCGAGGAAGGATTCGTAGCGGGCACAGAGGATGTCCGATTGACAATCGAGATACTCGTACCAAGCATTCAAGTTGGCCGAATCATTGGTAAAGGTGGACAGAACGTTAGAGAATTGCAGCGTGTAACCGGAAGCATTATAAAATTATCTGAACAACAATCAACATCTCCTTCTGCCGACGAAGAGGCCACCGTCCAAATAGTTGGCCCCTTCTTCTCTGTTCAGGTATCGCGTGTTTCCATGAAATTCTCCGTTTAACGATCGGGGATAATCAACTGACGTAATAAAGTATGTCAATTTTAATTTTTGCTCATGCTGTTTATCCGCAGTCGGCACAGAGAAGAATCCGCGCTATGGTTCTGCAGTCTAGTGCACCTGGAGCAGGTGTTGCTGGCTCACGCGCTGGTCGTGGTAGCAGCCAAGAAGGTGGATCTCGTTCTCGAAGAGACGGCAGTGCCACGTCTCAACAGGGTGGCACAGTGACGCAACAGCACACAACTCATCAGCAATCGAGCACTTCGCCATCCAGCCAGCAACAACCACAAAATCAGTAACGTCACTGAAACTTACCTGACGCCGACCAACGCCTCACAGAATCCGTTTTAATCGCCGGGGTGGCCTCGTCGCTTTGACATTCTCTCGTCAAGAGGCTACGTGCAACCTCCTTCTCGCGGGTCATGTATCCTTCGACGTGCACAGGCATGAAGGGCATACACACAAAGAGTTATCTATCGATCAAAATGTCACACAAACATGCAATAGCTTTCGATATTCTTCAAAATCCACATCTACATATTTGAATCAGAACGGTAGCAAGAAGGGGAATTATACGGTCGATGGCGTTTCTACATTCATTTTTCTTCTTTTTCCATTTTAATTCGTTTTATGCGAGAATACATTTATCCCGTCGGTGTGTGTATTTTTCGTAATTTTCTAGAACGTAGCATAAAATGTAACGTCATCTATTATTTTTTTCGTTTTCTTTTTAGATAGGTTTTTTTTTGCTGCAGAACACCCGATAAATTATATCATTGTTGACTCATCGCCATCGATCGTCACACCCAGCTTGCGTCGCGTTTTAACAACGAGCCTACACGGCTCTCGGTATACACAGAAGGTCTGAAATAAAAGCGATGCAGTTATATATACACACCGCGTTAAATCAGACGGAAGTGCACGTCAGCTAACGAAAACGCGTCACGCGGGACGAGGTGAGTCGAAAAGTTCGGTTCCTGCCCATTCGAAGCGGGGGTTAACGTTTATATTCGATTCTTCCGTCGAAGAGAATGCACATAACACAGATCGTTCGCTCACTTCTTCTGCGCGTGTCGCGCGGCACGTTTCGTTGCGAGTTCGCTTAAATTTCTGGAGTTAAAGCGACGGGTGACACTCGGACGAATCGATTTCGTAGCGTTTAACGAAACCACCTCGTCGATGAAATAGGATACGATGATAAGAAAAAAAAAAATAAGCATACACAACCTTATTACCTCATTCATTACGGTTAAAGATTTAAATATGATAAAGAAAAGTGAAACGAGAGAAAGGATAAAAAACCAACTAATCTAAAAAAAAGAAGTCTACCTAATATTAAAGTTATAATAATATACAGAGAAGTTAAGTAACGATTACACAATTACGTTATACATGTTACTACTACTACTACTACTACTATAACTACTACTACTATTACTACTGCTATTAACTACTACTACTTACTTCTACTAAGTAACTCTATACAGGAAAGCGGTTTTGTTTTTTGTTTTTTTTTTTATTTTCTAAGAAAAGGAAAAAGAACTACTTTAGGTACAGTTTTTTTATACCACAACGCAGAGAGACATTAATTAAACGAGACTTAATTATTGATGGAAAAAAAAACAAACGTTGGACGGAGGGAGACGTGTGACACACGTTCTACAGTTTAAACGTATATAAGCCAACAAGTTCTCAAAGCAGACGCCCCTCATCCCCCGCCCCTCTCGCGCCTGTAATACCAAAGAAGCGATTATGAGTTTTTTCGTATTAGTGAAGTGAAAATGCGTGGCACACACATGGTCGTGTCGAACGCTCTACTCGCCTCAAGTTCCTTGCAAGAGCCAAGAAGTGCGGGAGGGGTCAACAGACACACACATACAGAGTCGCGTCTGCGGGGAATCGACGAGTGGTTGTATTGACGTGGGAAAACAGCAGGATGGAAGGACACCGGCGAAAACATCCGTCGCCATCGAGTCGCTTTTTGCAAAAAGTGATCGGCACGCGCGTCCACACGCTCAAAAACTTAGCCCTTGCAGCGTTTTACGAGCGAATCCAGCCGACCTGTACGCTTTTTACCATCCATAAATTTAATCAAGCCGCGATTGACACGAACAGATAGAGAGGGAATGACAATGACGAGCGTCTTTGAGCAGCAGTGAGGAGAGAGAGAGAGAGGAGAGCGAAGAGAGAAGATAGAAGAATACGAGATAGAAAACGTTGATGTTATACATGAAACGGACGCTGTTTCGTACTACGAGAAGGATGTTCCAGGATGAGAGAAAAAGAGAGAATGAACAAGCGACCGTTGGTGCGCACGAGGAGAAGCGGATAGAAGAGAGGAGATATACGAATATGAGAGGAGGAGGTTTAAGGAAACGAGAGAGGATAGGAAAGAGCAAAAAGATAAGAAAAGCAAAGAACCACAAAACTTTTTCAGGGATTTTTACTTTACCATGAATGTAATAGTGTGTGAGTGTGCGTGTGTTGAATAATACTATTAATTGATAAGTAATTAATTACTGATTAGGCATATACGGCAAAACAAACGCCAGACAAGGTAGAAATTTAGGATAATCGAGAGGAAAAAAAGAACACTAGGAGATGAGGGAGGAAACAAAAAAAAAAAAGTACAGTGCTGGAGGTGGAATGATTCGACGAGAAAGAAAAAAGAAGGCATCGTAATTATTAATTTCGGTGTGTTTGCTCTTCGCATCGTGATGCGAGCGCGTATATCGCCAGCGAGTTTGTCGGAACGCGACGATCGGACCACGCGCGAATTTTACGAAACTCCGACTCTCGACGATCTTTGTAAATTCTGTAATTTTTTTTTTTCCTTTCTGTACTTTTTTTTCATGTTTTAATTGTAGGGTATATATAGTCGTAATTACAGTTAGGATAGTAAATATTATGTCGGACGCGTTACGAACTCGTTCGTAAGAAACTCGCAGCGATATCGCGTCTCCGGCACGGCGCGTACTATCGATCACGATAATTCTGATAATTTGTTTGGATCAACCTTTACAAATGCTGCTGCTAAAATGAAAATGGGGGAAAAAAAAACGAAAACAAAATTTGTGTAACATTGAGAAATTTTTGGACACTTTTGGCAAAATACGAAAGGCGAACGTGTATACACCGTTAGAGGGGGAAAAGAAAAGATACGTTCGCGACGAAGCACACGGAATATTCGTGACCGATTACGCGTGGTATTCGTAACTCTAAGTTCTGATTCATAAAAGCAAAAAAACAAAAAAGAACGAAATCTGCAAAATATTCGAAGATACGATAGTTCGCACGTGCAACGTACGGGCGGGAAGCGTTTTCAGTCGAAACGAAAAAGAAGATCGATCGCGTAAAAGAGATTTCAAGAAAAATAAAAAAAAAAAAAATATGAAAAGAACGAGAGAAATGAGAGAAACGAGAAGTGAACAGAAAAAAAGATAACAAAGATTCAGGACTATATGTATAGTGGTGAAGTGAATTTTACAAAATTTATCTAATGAGACTTTTTGAAGTCGAGGGGAAAAAAAGAAAAAATAATCGAACCGGGGGGCTATCAATATATATAACCCCTCTTCTATTTGTTCGATCATCTATAATAAACGTCACCAAAAAAGGAGCGATAAATAAACGGACTGACAAAAGAGACGCACGATTATGTGCCATGAAAGAAACAAGAAAGAAAGAGAGAGACGTTCTTACGGAAAATCATTTGAACCTCTTCCGAATTTTAATTCCAAGTAATTAATCTTCTCGCCGACTTCCAACTAAGAACTTTGCTGTCGTGTTAGGTGTCATTTTTAAAAGGTATTCTTCTATCCGTAATACTGAATCTGATATTGGACGTGGTTTTTTTTTTTTTTTCTTTCTCGGTTAATTACTTTCTCTGGAAAATCTCGTGGCACATTATCGATGCTCAAACTAAGTACGTTGAACCCTGTTTAGTTCGGGGTTCGCGTTTAGTTACGGCGACGACGATCCCTTCCGGTTCACATGGCTGGCCGGGAGATCGGGTCGTCGACCGTCGTTTCACCTCACGGCATTCGGTATGCGTTTAGTACAAAAATACACGAGTTTAAAATGGGTAAGGGAAGAACAGAAAGAAAGGATGGAATCCAGTTTTTCCGCGAGAAAAGTGGGGAATGATGTGAGAGAGAGAGAGAGAGTACGTAAGACAAGAAAGGAAAGAGATATATTCGCGTGTTAGAGGATTTTTCTTTATCGAGAGAGAGAGAGAGAGAGAGAGAGAGAGAGAGGAGGAGGAGAGCGGAACGCGTAACGAGGAAAGAAACTTCTGTTTGAGTGTGCGCACGAATATCATCGGTGGGTAATATGGAAAATCGAGCGATGGAAAAGGAAGAGGAAAAAAAACGAGAAGAAGGCATGCAGGGAAAAACAAAGAGATGAACGGATGGCGGATTCTCGTCCGCCCCCACACTTGCCTTTGTCTGTTGCGCTGCATCTCGAGGAGAGGAGTGCCGGAAAGATCAAGAGCTGAAAAAAAGAAGCTAAGAAACAGCAACGAGAGAGAGAGAGAAATAAACAAGAAGAAGAAAAGTGAAATTCGACCGAAGACAGAAGGTGAAGTGCATAACGCCGGAGAAAAGAGAAGAGCAACGCGAGAGAGAGTATAAAAAAATATGAAGAGAACATAGGTGAAGATGAAAACGGGAAGAGGAATGACGTGAGAAAGAGAAAATGAATCTAAGAGTAATAAGTTTATTTTTGATACATTGTTGGGGAGATCTAAGTGAATCTTTCTTTTTCAATTTTTTTGTTAGATGTTTTTAATAACTTAATGAATTTTAACGATATTAAATGAAAAAAAAAAGCGAGGCTTGAAAGAGGGAATGCGGAGACATTTTTTAAATAGAGATATAAGGAGATATAAGAGAAAGGTGGAAATAAGGAGAGAGAGAGAGAGAGAGAAGAAGCGAAGCGAAGTGTTTTTCGTAAATAAAAGGAATAAAAAAGAGAGAGAGAGAATGTAACTTAAAGGTTTAAAGAAGAAAAAAAAAGAAGAGGCGAGGATAGAGGAGGAGTAAAATAAAGGTAAAAATTAAAAAAAAAAAAAAGTGAAGAGATGAAGTGATGAAAGATTTAAAGGAGCACGGCGCGCAGCTTTTTGCGCTGTGCGCGTCTGTCGCTCGTCAGGGAGGGGGGGAATAAAGGAGATTTTAGGCGGATAAATTGTATAATATATTTAATATATTTGGAGGAAACGGAGGCGTTAGGTCCGCTCGATGAGAAATGTCACTTCGACGGCGAGCGACAAAGACAATCGGGCTCACAGTTTTATGTGACGCGATTTTCGTCGTTGTCGCTTCCTGGAAAGCCTTTCTCGCCCGCAGTCCTTCGCCTCCGTGATTATTTATCAAGCGTAAATATTTAAAGAGACAAGAGTGAATAACATTTTGTAAAAAAAAAAAAAAAAAGAAAAGAAACGAAGAAGATAATAAAACAAAGAAGAAGAAAAATAAAGAAAAAACGAT